AGGAGCTGGTGTGTGCGGCCGGACCCCGGCCCTGGGTCAGTGATGCAGCTCAGCCCGGCGGGTTGGGGAAGGGGGTGTGCCCAGCGGGATGGGGGAGGTGGGAGACCCGGCTGGAAGTGTAGGGTGGGACAGAGCTGCTTGAAGGGCTAGCTTAAGGAACAGTGGATTTAAAACTAGAATGGCTAGTTCATTGAGCACGTACTAGTGTTTTGTGCGAGAGTGAGGAACAGAGAGAGGGGCGTTCACCAGCGGGTTGGGGAAGGGGGTGTGCCCAGCGGGATGGGGGAGGTGGGAGACCCGGCTGGAAGTGTAGGGTGGGACAGAGCTGCTTGAAGGGCTAGCTTAAGGAACAGTGGATTTAAAACTAGAATGGCTAGTTCATTGAGCACGTACTAGTATTTTGTGCGAGAGTGAGGAACAGAGAGAGGGGCGTTCAGGGCAGAGCGGCCGGAATGGCAGGGGCAGACAGCTCTGCAGGGGAGGGAGTGTGGCCACAGGAGCTGGGCAGGGGCAGGGCAGGCCTCCCTGCAGGTCACAGGAGGGCTTAACCCTCAGAGGGGTCCGAGCTCTTTGTATACCCGGCTCGTTGCTGGCGTAGACGTGACCAGCTTGCTCTGGGGATAAGCAGGCCTGGCTGTGGGAGAGGGTGCTTGGCTGGAGCAGGGCTGAGGGTGGACGCGTGGAGGAGCAGGTGTAGGGGTAAGTGCCTGGCCTGTGACCGGCACTGACTGCCGGGGCCGGGGGCGCGGGGCTCTGGCCAGAGAAGGGTGGGTTGGGACTGGATTTGGTGATGGGTATGATTTGGGGGTGGAGAGAGGGACGGGGCTGGGTGATGGCCCCGAGGTTCCGACTGGGCAGCTAGTGGCTCCTGGATGGAGACCCTGGAAGATGCTCACGTTTGGGGGGGAAGATTGATTTGGGGCATCTCAAGGTTTTGCAACTTTTTTTCCAGAATAAATTCAAAACCTAACATAATCCAGGGAACTCCTTGAGTGCCCTGGACCCAGGGTGACCAGTTGTTAGCATTCTGCCCCGTGGCTCACACACACACACACACACACACACACACGCTCTCACACACACATGCTCACGCTCTTACACATACACACTCACACACATGCTCTCACACACATGCTCATGCTCTTACACATGTGCACGCACACACACTCTCTCATGCTCTCACTCACACTC